GAGACCATTTGGCGTGAACTGTGAGGGATTTGCAATGAGTCCCCCAGCTGGTGCGACTGGCATCAGTAATGACTTGTATTTGTGGGCGAGGTTGTTGGAATGGTCACCCAATAGAAAGGTTGGTATGGGAATGCCACCAATGAAATTGAGAGGCCAGTTCTGGAGTGATTCTTAGGAGAGTGTGGGGAAAGTCTGTTAGGATCGAGTAGGGTCAGAAACCATTTTGAGATGCACATGCTGTTCAACTGACGTCATAGAGGCCATGGTGCCTAGAGCTCATTAAGGCAGGTATCAAAGCCACAAAGTAAGGTGAGATTTTGTCTCTTTTCTGCAGGAAGGAACATGTGAGCTCGTGTGGAGTCTCTGAGCACGCCTATGTAATGTATAGTCCTTGTAGGTTTTAATTTGATTTCTGTTTGTTGATAGTTAGACTGAGATCGCAAAGAAGGGCAAGGGTGACAACAGGTGTCTCATTGAGCTTTGCGACAGGAGTGTGCTACAAGGAGCCAGTCGTTGATATATGGAAAGATGAGAATGTTTTGAAGTCTGAGGTAGGCGGCTACCAGTGCCATGCACTTGGTGAACACTCTTGGAGCGGTTGCAAGGTCCAATGGGAGTCTTTTGAATTGGTATGCTTGTGATCCAAGTTGGAAACGAAGGAATTTTCTGTGTGCAGGATGTATTGCAATATGAAAGTAAGCATCTCTTAGGTCTATGACGGTGAACCAGTCATTTTTTTGAAGTAAGCGAAGAACTGATTCTAGAGTAACCATGTGGAATTTTGTGGTGAGGATGTAGTTGTTTAATAATCTTAAATCTAGAATAGGGCAAAGTCCCCCATCTTTCTTCGGGATGGTGAAATAGTGAGAGAAAAACCCAGTGTTGTTTTGATAGATGGGCTGTATGGCATCTTTGAGAAGTAAATTTATTTCCTCTTGCAGGGGTTGTGACGGAGGAGTAACAAAGTGTGTTGTCAGAGGAAGTTTCAGGAAGTGGATGCGGTAGCCGTTTTTGATGATAGAGAGTACCCAGGAATCTGTGGTGATGGATTCCCATGCAGGTAAGTGTTTCCAGAGGGCACGTTTGGTGGAGTGGGTGGTGATCTCAATCAGAGGAGTGTCAAACATGGTGTTTGGGTTTCTGGTCATTCCGCCTAGTGGCAGGCTGTTGCTGGGGTTTGGCTCTTTGGCTTTTGAAGCATGGATTTAAGAGGTTTGTTGGGGAGGGTCTTATTAGAACCTCTGGTACAAGTTAAAGGGTCGTTTCCAGTGATTTTGTTGAGGACGTTGCTGGTAGGAAAGGTGAACTCCCCAACGTCTGGCTGCTGAACATTTCTTTTGTACATTCTTTAGTATGTCATCAGTTTCAGCATGAGAAAGACCTGCTCCATCAAAGGGGAGGTCTTCAATATGTGCCCGAGCATCTTCGACTAAGCCGGCTGTTCTGAGCCAGGAAAAACGGTGTAGGAATACTGCAGCAGCCATGGACTTGGCTGTAGCATCTATGGTATGGCGGGCGGAAAGCATCTGTTGTTTAGCAACAGAGAGACCTTCTTGTTGGAAGGTTTGAATCTCTAGCAGGGATTCAATAAAGGAGGATATATTGTCCCAAAGAAAGCATTGGTAAGCTCCCATGGCTCCTTGATAATTAGCGACCCACATGGTGAAGGCTGCGGAAGAGTAAAGCCATCTACCCATGGAGTCTATTCGTCGGATCTCTTTATTTGGTGGTATGAGAGATTGTCAGTGTCGAGATCGCGACTGAGAGGCTTTGACTGAGAGGCTTTGAAAACGGCCCCTGGGTCATGGATTCTACAGAGGTTATCAATCCACTTAGACATGGTAAAGGAGGAAGCTGGTTTTGTTCAGGATCTATGCACGGTACTAAGGAGAGATTGCAACATTGATATGTGTACTGGAGTGGTTGTATTTTTAGAGATAAGATCATACAGATGATCGGCTGGTTCTGTCGATGGTTGGTGGATTTGTAAATCAAGGGATTTAGCCATGTGAATCATAAGTTGGGCATAGGTCTGGAAATCCTCTGCTGGTGATGGTGGGTCGGTATCCACAATGTCCGACTCTGGAGAGGTAAGTAATACCGATGGAGTCTGTGGCCAAGATCCATGGTCAGAGTCATCGAGGTCGCATCTGGAGTTGACGGACTGTTGATTGACTTCGGTGTCGAGAGGCTGAGTTTCATAGTATTACTGGTTATTAGTCAAAAAAGATGGAGGTGGCATGTCCATGGACATCTGTTGATGTTGAGGATCACTTACATGGGAAGATGGTTGAGCGTCAACGGACCTTGATTGGTAGGAATGGACGTCAGTGTCAAGCTTGGTGTCATAACAGTGCTAGGGTTGATGACTTTGATTTACCGAAGGATGGGAACTGTCTTGATGTAACGGGATGGAGCATGTGTCCATGGACCAGGATGAATATTGAGGATTGTTGATATTAGAGCCTGTGTCTCTGTGATGTGGAAACAGAGGTTGCTGATGCGATGTCATAGCAGTAGAATAAACAGACCCTGGCGATGCCAAGCATGAAGAGTGATTTCCGTCATTTATTATAGTAGGAAAATATCAGGAGGCTGGGGCTGCAATCTGGATGAAATCTGCTCGTCGGTCCGAGGTTTTTTAGATACCAAGTGGGGAGCAGGTTGAGGTATCTCCACGTCTCGGTGATGTGGCCGCTTTGACACCGATGATTGTCGAGAGGTAGGCCAACTACTAGATGGATGGTATTATCAAACCGTGTAAAACACCTGGTTGACTAGTCAGCACAGTTTGTTGAGCAGAGCACTGGTCGGGACAAATGGCACCCTGATGCACGCTGAGCGTGGGTTCGAACCACACACGATGAAGTGAGCTGTCAAGATTGTTGATGTTGACGGTTCTGGTTAGGGATCAGTGGCTGATCCGAGGTCATCGAATATGGAACGGTGTTGAGCTGTTTGGGATGGAAATCCTTGGGCGATGGAATAACCGAAGAATTGCTGGAAGGAATATAAGGTTGTGGACTGGGAGGAGAGGACGTTAGTCGGTTCACTCTATCACCCCATTCTGGAGACTGAGAACGGGGTTGATGGGACGGAAGTTTGTCATCATCTGAGGGAGATTGATTCAGAGAGTTGTTGTGGTTATGATGGGATGTCTGTAGGCTTAGACTGTTTGGCTCATTTAGGAGGAACAAGCTCCGGAGCTGGAGCAGCTTCAGTAGGTCTCTGACGTTTAGAGGTTGTTTTTGAAGTCGAGGACTTCAGTATCAAGGGTTTCGATTTGTGTGTCTTGGAGGTCTTAGACGATGCAGATGGAGAATTGGAATGAGCTGGTGTAGCCAATTGACACTGTTTCGATGATTCAGTAACGGCTTTTTCCATTGCTTTGGTTTGGGAAGTGGCCCTACAGGGAGGTTGGGCCATTTGAACTGGTTGTAAGGATTATTCCCCAAGTCAGAGTTTTAGCCTCGAGAGGCAAGATCGAAGAATTCAGCGCTTAAAAATTTAGCAATGGGTACAGGAGGAATGCAGTTATTAAATGGGCCCAAAGGGGCCATGAGCAGGAGAAAACAATTGAGGAGAAAAACCGATGATTAAAGGGGGGGTGCTGCGGCCAGAGCTGAGCGAAGGAAAGGAAAAATCTCTGATGATAATGAGTTTAATCTAATAGTTTAAAAGAAAAAAAGATTGATAACAGGAAGGAATTAAGAATAAGCTCTCTTTCTCTTTTACTCACAGAAGCAGAATTATGAGGCTCTCAACGAAAGAACTGAAAGAACTGAAAGAGAATGCTTGGTGCCAAGGTACTTATATGGGGGGCATATTCTAATACGTTTATTGCTACCGCAGAATCTTCTGATGAGGCTCTGAGGCTCTGCGCAGGCATGAATCACCCAGGGTATAATTCACAGAGGCCAAGGAAGAAGAACTTATGATTGAGCACATACAAATCTGACACGGACTGGGAAAATGGCCACTTCTACAAAAAAACAAACTCCACCATTGATACAGAGCTGATTCCAGATAATTAAAACAGCAAAGCACAGCTATTGTCAAATATTATGAAAACTCACTGTAATAAAAATTGCTGGTACTGGAGATGTTGCATTTGGTACATGGCCGTGAGTTCCTGCTGCCTAGTCAGCCGTTCCTGGTCCAACTCACCCTGTGGATGTGAACAAACCAGTAACTGAATTGGGACAAAAGATGAACTTTAACAAGACATTGCACCTTGATTTTCATGCTTAAATCTGCAATCATAACAACTGGAACATTCCTTTTGGAACATTATGTTATGTTAACAATTCTAGATGAGAAATTATATATCAAATACCAAATTCTTTTACAGTGAAATACTGAGTACACACAGCTTTGATTATATGACTTGAAATTAATTATGAGCATAAAGTATTTTGTATAAAATGCTATAAAACAGAAAATATTAAAGATTATTCTGTTTTATAAAACACAAGACTTAAAATAATCTTTAAAGTTTATAAAAAGAAGATAGACTAATTTAAAGTGAGAAATTAAAGTACATATGCAAACAGATTCTATAGTCCATAATTCTACCAGGAAGAATATCTGATGCACTCCTCCTTACTTCTGTTAGTACTGAGAAAAAGGGAATAGCAGAATCTGATATGCAATCAAGCCACAGCAACAAAAATAAAGCAGAGCAGGAAGGGTTAAAAGGATGGGGAACAATTACCCCTTAATAAGGAGGGAGCAGAAATGTCCGAGTTTTGAGAAAAAGACTATTCCTGCCACTATTTTGTCATATCTAGAAAGCAGCTCAACTAGACCCAAATTGAAGAAGCAACTGAAGGTCTTTGGGTCTTACAAAGACTATTCAATAACAATTCTAAGTGAAAAAGACTGCTGCCTGTTTCACTTCCTGTTATTGTGAGCACCACTCCCTTAATATGCACAGTGCCTCCTGTTACATGTACAGTGGTGCCCCGCATAACGAGCAATTTGTTTAACAACGAATCCGCATAGCGACGCATTTTTTTGCAATCGCAAAAGCGATCGCATAACGATGTGTTAGATGGTCAAAAATCGCTTTGCGATGATCGGTAAGCATTTTGCTTACCGATTTTGGATGTTTTTTCTAACAGCTGATCGGCGGTTCCAAAATGGCCGCCGGATAAAGAAAATGGCCGCCCGCAGTTTTCGCGCCCTTTCCTCGCTTACCGGGCAGCGAAAATGGCGGCCGCATCAAGGATTTTCAGATAATGGTGAGTTTTTTGCCCATAGGAACGCATTAAATGTGTTTTAATGCGTTCCTATGGGCTTTTTTGCCCCGCATAGCGACGAATCCGGATAGCAACGATTTTTTCTGAACGGATTATCGTCACTATGCGGGGCACCACTGTATGTTAAAAATAAATCCTGGTAGCTTCCTTCAAGGTTACTGTAGCACTGTACCTTTAAAAACCATTGTTTTCATATACCACATACTTACCATATGGAGAGGTGGTGCTGGACCAGGAGTAAAAGGGACCCTGCCCCAGATTTTCATGATGTCTCCAAGTGGCTGGAAGCTCTCATCACATGCTCTTTTCACTAGTAGTGACATTGTAAAATACCCAGCTTGAAACCATTCTGCCATCTCCTGGTTACTGAAAGGACCTGCCAACCAAGACACATAAGATACAAAACATGAAGCCCCTGGAGACACGAGACTAGAGATGGGGACATTCATATTCATATACAAATATGAACATCCCGGCACAGGTGGCGTTAATGAGGGTCCAGCCCTATGGGGCCGGATGGTGCACTCACTGATCCGATGTGGATGGCACGATTCTACCAATGGCTCTGCAGTGAGCAATCTGCTCACGACTCTTCAACCTTGCAGTGAGGCTTGTCCTCCTGCCAGGAGTGGCGAGTGGATCGCACGGTACAGAGCCATTGGTAGAATCGTACCGTCCACATCTGTGATGGATCAGTGAGTGGACCATCCAGCCCCATTGGGCTGGACACTTGTTAACATCATCTGTGCGGGGATACTCATATACGAATACCTCCATCTCTACATGAGACAAAACTGTGCGGAGCACAGTACCCAACAATCACAGCCAGTATGAATTTGCTCTTAAGTATACTGGCATTCCCCTCCAAAAAAAAGCCATACACATTTATTCCATTTCATGGTACTATTTAAATCCTGACTTTTGTCCAACTAGACTGCATGCTTGTTCCCATTTTATCCTCACAATTCTGTATAGTAGATTTGGCTTGAGTGTGACTGATCCAAGATCATCCACTGAGCCTCCAGCTGATTGCAAAACTGAACCATATCTTCACCAGTCCTAATCTGACAGCGTAAAATCCGTGTACCACAGTAGTTGTCAGTGTATCAATGAAGATAGGCTATACAGTGGTGCCTCACATAACGAGCGCACCGTTTAACAATGAATCCGCATTGCGATGCGGATTTCCCCATCGCTAATGCGAGGGCATGCTCGCATTGCGACGGGGGAACAGCTGTTAGGCGGTTCTAAAATGGCCGCCGGACACCCAAAATGGCTGCCGGACACCCAAAATGGCCGTCGGAACACCCAAAATGGCCACCGGGACACCCAAAATGGCTGCCGGGACACCCAAAATGGCCACCAGAACACCAAAAATGGCCGCCGGGACACTCAAAATGGCCACCGGGACACTCAAAATGGCCACCAGGACACCCTAAATGGCCACCGGAACACCCTAAATGGCCGCCGGAACACCCAAAATGGCCACCGGGACACCCAAAATGGCCGCCGGAACATGGGGAAACATCAGAGAATGGTGATTTTGGGCCCATTTGGAACCCAATTTGGGCCCAATGGGTTTCCCCGTTCTGCTTAACGATGTTTCCCCATAGCGAAGGTTAATCCGGAACGGATTAACCTCGCTATGCGGGGCACCACTGTAGTTGCTATGAGACTTCTCTTAATAGTCCAATAAAATTTTTGAAAAATGGGAAACGATAAAGGCATACCTTGAATTTCTCCTTGTGGATCTTTGTAGAACCACTTTTGCATGGCCTCAGGGTGTAATGATATTGAAGTACCCTTTGCTCTTTGCTCTTGAAGTTTGGTTGCTAGTCTTTCATCGTCCAGGGCGCTATCCTGCAAATATGCCACCATTTTTTCTGCTTGCTGCAATAAGAATGAAACCATAGCAAACACTGTTATTGTGACTACTGTTAAATTAAATAGTTATCAGAATTAGGTGCCCTATAAACACTAACTTCACAACTGGTGAAGCACAAGAACACAAGGGAAAAAACATTTTTACTAAAGAAAAAATAAAGTACTATCACAAGTAGCTTTTATGCAGCTTCCCTTTGAGCTGCATAGAAGATGTATACAGCTTCTCTTGGAGCTGTAGAAAAGATAGCTGTGCAATAAATTAGAAACTAAGCACTTATTTGTTTATTAGCTGGCTATCCTGCCTTCCCATGATTAAAAATTAAAATATTTGATAAAATCTAAAATTATAATTATAGAAAGTAAATCAGTTAAAATGCATGAATAAAAATGGACTGTGCACATTATTTAAAACTGCTTCATCAAACAGGTGAAAAGCTTGTCCGACTAAGATGTCTTTAATAGCTGTAGTTAAAGATAACAGATACAAAACCAACCTGGCCATCTGTAGCAGGTAGATCCATGGCCAAGAGCAAATAACAATAGGCCTTCTCCCACTTTCCTACATACAGTGGTGCCTCGCTTAACGAGCGCACCGTACAACGACGAAATCGCATAGCGATCCCTTTTTTGGGATCGCTAATGCGATCGCTCAACGACTTTTAGATAGGGCAAAATTCGCTTTGCGAAGATCAGTAAGCGCTTCGCTTACTGATCTACGCAAAACGAAGCCCCGACGATCAGCTGTTCGGCGGACAAAATGGCCGCGTGCAGCGTTTTCGCGCCCTCCCTTCACTTAACGAGGGCGCGAAAATGGCTGCCGGCCATAGGAAACTTCGCTGAATGGTGAGTAAAGGAGCCTTTTGGAACGCATTAAACGATGTGTAATGTGTTCCAATGGCTTTCCCTGTCCCATTCAGCGATGTTTCGCTATAGCGAAGGTTAATCCGGAACGGATTAACCTCACTATGCGAGGCACCACTGTATTTATTTTGATTCTTTATCCTTCTTGCTAGACAGGCACATTATGCATCTCTGTTCACTTCGATTTGGAAAAAAAAATTAACTGATCAGCTCTGTTAGCTCTTAAAGTTTGGAGACAATGGTAAGTGTGTCAAGGCCTCCAGAAGACAGTTGAGTTATGGTTCATCCCCTTAGAATGAACCTTTCCCACATATAATGAAGTATTACTTGCTCATGCAGCAACTTATGAAGTTTTGTACTGCTACCATTAAGTCGCAACAAAGAATTTTAAGAGAATACAGGGAACCTCTGTGGGGAGTGATGCATGCCACAGAAACCATTTGGAAGCAAATCACTCTATAAGCTAAGGCCTGATTCCCTTTCTAAAGTGGGATCTAAATTATAAATAGGACACACAGTTTGCTGTCCTCTGAAGATGCCGGCCACAGAGACTGGCGAAACGTTAGGAAAAACCATCTTCAGAACACGGCCAAGAAGCCCGAAAAACCCACAACAACCAGGACACACTAACTTAACCAGCTTAAGACATATGCTGCCTGATTTTAGGCATATTTACTCAGAAACAATCTTCAGGTTCAAATAGGCTTATTACTCTAAAAATAACTAAGTGCAGCCTTATTCTTTCCATTTGTAAGATCAATATGATACTGGCATCAGACTTTAAACCCAAGAGAATAATGCAGACGAACAGCAGATCTTGGCAGAAGTGTTAAAAGTTTAATAAAACAGTTTTGCCTGTCTGTATACATTTTAGTCTGAATTTTCTTGAAACACCAAGTTATCAGAAATGACATAATATGTATAGACAACATTAAAAGTGCTGGAAAATGATGTACTGTTCTGATATAATTTTCCAATCTTGCAAATGGGAGCCCAATCAGTTTCCCTAACTGTTACATACACAACATTTTATGTTATTACGTGCCATCAAGTTACTTCCAAATCATGGTGTGCTTATGAATAATTATTTCCAGAAATCAACCATTTATAGCCCTGCTCAGATGTTGTAAAATAGAGGACATAGCTTTCCTTACTGAGTTGATCCACCTCTGTTTTGACTTCCTTTTTTCCTATTGCTGTTCATCATAGCATTATTGTCATTTTTAGGGAGTCTTGCCTTCTCATAATAATCCAAAGTACAACAATGTCCATTCAGTCATTTGTTACAGTTCAGTTTGATTTATTTGAAAATAAATTAAACAGCTGGAAAAAATAAACCACTACATGGACAACACCTGAGAAATACTGATGGAAAGTATGATCATAATTCAACATGGGCATGGATAAAACTGGGGACCCTTAAGAAAACGAAGGCTTGATTTTTGCTGCACAAGAACAAGCACCCCAAATTAATGTGATGAAAACTAAGATCCAAGGAGTTAGTGCTAACAATAAATGTATTCGCGAAGACTTTCACGGCTGGGATCTAATGGTTGCTGTGGGTTTTTTGGGCTCTTTGGCTGTGTTCTGAACAACAACCACTAACAACAAATGTTGACTCTGCCAAGAAAAAGATGAAACTGTGTCACACCTCATCTGTGAATGTCCAAAGATTGCACAAACAGATTATAAAGTTAGACATGATAGAGTAGCAAAGTTAGTGCACTGGTCATTATGCAAAAAATGTAACTTGCCGGCCTCCAAAAACCCATCAGAACATCAGGTAGAGAAGGTATCAGAAAATGAAGAAATCAAGATCTTGTGCGATTTCTGGATCCAATCAGACACCTTGAACATAACACACCAGACATAGTAGTAATAGAACTAAGAAATGTCTGGTTCATTGACATTGCAATTCTGGGAGATGCCAGAGTTGAAAATAAAGAACTGGAAAAACTAGCAAAGTACAGAGACCTGGCAATCAAAACATCTCACCTCTGGAACAAACACACTTCAGTGGTCCCCGTAGTCACTGGGGCTTTGGGAACAATATCAAGAAATTTCACACAGTACTATAAGCAGTTGCAGATCTCAGAAATCACGCCAAAAGAACTACAAATAATGGTAATATTAGGAACAACATACAATATTCTATGGTCTTGTCTATATCTTCATAAATTACATTCCTGCTTTCGAGCAGGTGAATTGAGTAGTAAGGAGCGTATTCATATATTTTTAGGTCTCTTCCATTGAGAGAATTAAAACTGGGAAAGTATCCAAAAAACTAAATGTAAAATTAAATTCTCACAACTTTTATATAGCAAAAAGTATTTGGGAGTACAGGTGGCTCATCTGTAACTGTCTTTCAGCAAGTGCTAATCCTGTGCATTCACACACCTGGGTTACTGCACCTATGTGGTCCACAATCAGAATTTTCTAGAGGCTGCATGTCCAGCGCTTTCACCTCCTCCCTAGCCTACTGTACATGTCCCTTCTCCTTACCTGTTTCAACCTCTCTGCTACAAAGCTACCAGGAAAAATGTGATTAGTGGGGAGGTGAGAGGTTTGTGTGAGTAAACAGAATGACCACTCAAAGAGACACATTTATAGGTGAGTAACCTGTCCTTCTTCTTCATGGTCTTCTGTGATTCAACTAGCAAGCACCTAGTCAAGATATCACAGAGGACTGCTAAAAGAAGCATCTCTCTGGGCACAAATGTATAGCCTGTAGTATTTGACAAATGTTACGGACTGAGATTAGATAGCAGCTTTATAGATATCATGTAGTGGCAATCCTTTCAAAAATGCAAATTTTGCTGCTTCTATCCTTTACAATGTCCTTGATAACAAAGAGGTGATTAGTCTTCCTGAATTATTTTGTCCTAGATATACCAATATTCTCCTAACATCCAGGTTATGCAAAGATCTCTCCAGCGGTGACTGTGGATTTGGTAAAAGATGGTAACACTACCAGTTGTGAAGTACGGAACAGTGATGGCATCATAGGAATAAACATAATGTCTGGAAACAATGTGAGACTGTCCATCTGAAACTGAATATATGGCACACAATTCACTGGCTCTTCTAGCCAAAATCACCATAATGAAGAAAGCAGTCTTCATAATAAGATTCAAATCTACAGTAGGGAGAGATTCAAATGGACAACTTATGTTTCAAGAGCATTGAAGACCATGGCATTGCCAGCAGCTTAAGTGTCTGGAATTAAGTTCTTAGCAGAACGGTGAGCAAAAAGTTTCGAAGAAGAGTGATTTATTGGTTTACTGAACACAACTGCCAATCAACAGACCTTTAAGAAAGATATTGAAAGATTGGATTCTTTCAGATGTAGTTGAAACATCATCACTGTATTTAAGGAAACAGATACTGTCTCAGCTAAAATAGGTTCTGTGAAGTGAAGGAATCTGTACCATTAATATTTATAAGCCAACGTTATAGAAGAATTTCAAGCATGTGAAAGTATATGCCTCATAGGTGAATAATATTCCAAGCATATTCAAACCTCAGGTTTTTAATGGGTGAAGAATCTTGCCATCTTCGCAGATTAATGGATCCTCCTGAACTGGAAACGCAAACACATTTGATGCGGATGATTTGTGTCAGTGTGAGGTAAGATTTCTCACAATTTATCCTTGTTTGTGCAGTAGCTAGATAGTACCGTGAAGGGCAGTTTTGAGGTGTCTCTTTCATGATGCCACCATAGGCCAGTTGCCTGTGTAAGGGCATGTCATTATGCATTATGCCCCTTAATCTGAACTGGGCTGCAATGACAACCATGCATTTCTGAGGACCCTTGGGGCCCTGGAGAGTCCAAATGTAGTACCTTCAATTGGAAATCGTGATGGCTATAGAGAACCAGAAATATTTTGGTACGATGGTCAGATGCTAATGTGGAAATAGACATCCTTTAAGTCTTTTTTTAAACAAACCAATCTCCATGTCCAACAAAAATGGCTTGTAATGTGATCATCCTGAACTGCCTGGAGAGAACTGAGAATACAGAAGTTGAGACCCCTGACATTAGGGATATACCTTGGGTTGCTGTCCTTTTTTCATACTTTAAAGTAGTGTCGCCTCTTGTGTTGTTGGAAAAGTGTTTGTGGTGACCAGGTTGTTCTCTTGACAGAACTCTATTAGCCTTTGCCCTGCTTCATTTTGAACTCCAAGGCCAAACTTACCTGTTGTTTTTTTTAATCTCTTGACTCCCTACTTTAACACTCCAGTCCCCTATAATGACAAGAACATCTTTCTTTGGTGTCAGTTCTAGAAGGTGTTGTAAGTCTTCATAGATTTGGTCAATTTCAGCCTCTTCAGCATTGGTGGTTGGTGCATAAACTTGGATTATTGTGATGTTGAAAGGTCTGCCTTGAATTCGTATTGAAATCATTCTATCATTTTTGAGATTGTATCCCAGTACAGCTTTTCCCATTCTTTTGTTGACTATGAGGGCTACTCCATTTATTCGATGGGATTCTTGCCCACAATGACTGAATTGAATTCGCCCATTCACATCCATTTTAATTCACTAATGCCCAGGGTGTTAATGTTTATTCTTGCCATCTCCTGTTTGATCTCCTCCAGCTTACCTAGGTTCATAGATCTTACATTCCAGGTTCCTGTGCAGTATTTTTCTTTGCACCATCGGAGTTTCCTTTCACTTCTAGGCACGTCCGCAGCTGAGCTTCCTTTCGGCTTTGGCCCAAACACTTTATTAGCTCTGGAACTACTCATACTTGTCCTCTGCTCTTCCTCAGTAGCATGTTGGATGCCTTCCCACCTGAGGGGCTCATCTTCCAGTGTCATATCTTATAGCCTTTTCTTTCTGTCCATTAAGTTTTCTTGGCAAAGATACTGGTGTGGCTTGCCAGTTCCTGCTCCAGTTGGATCGCATTAGTCGGAACTCTCCACTATGACCTGTCCGTCTTGGGTGTCCCTGCACGGCATAGCCCGTAGCTTCTCTGAATTACTCAAGCCCCTTCACCACAACAAAGCAGCAATCCATGAAGGGGATTGCTGCCTACCTATTCCCCATGATGGGGATTACTACCTATGATTTATAGACTACAGCAAAGCCTTTGTGTGGATCATGAGAAACTATGCTTTGTTCTGAAAGAAACTGTAAAATCTCTGCATTTTAATTGTCCTGATGTGTAATTTCTGTTTTGGACAAGCTTAGGTTTGGCATGCTGATGATATAAAGTTTTTACATTTAAAAACTTTAAACTGCTGGAAGATTTAATGCTGCCTTATCTCTTCTTGCTTTTAATAATATGTTTTTAAATCTATTTTTAACTTACAACTTTTGGCTACTTTGAATGTTCAAAATGAATACTGTAGTAAAGTAGAAAGGATTTAAAATAACAGTTTTTGGTCAGAAACAATGTACAGCTTCTGTATGAATCAGAAAACTGGAATTAAAAGCAAATTATAAGATAAGTGTTATGTGAAATATTTTTTTGAGAACCTATCTTCATGACCATTACCTGCAATTTAAGGACTGGGAGGGGGTTTCTTTCCCTGTTTCCAAAGAGGAATTTATAGACCTTACTGGCAGTTACACTGAAAAAGCCATCTAAATGAATTGAAGCAAGACCCTGCTGAACTATTAAAATCCCTATTATATGTGAACATCCCACTTGGCATGTATTTTTTTTTGCTGTTCTATCTTGCAATAAGAGTGCTGAACCAATTTTGTTGCTCAACCAACTCTATAAATTAAATTAGTGGGGAAATTGGTCTTGATCAGAAATATTGTGTTCTGGAAAAGGTTACACCTGAGGATTTTGCACTGGTGTACAATGCAGCATGAATGTTGCTGTCATATGGGCACTGACAGAATGGAAATTTTTCCAAGGAATTCATTTCCTTAAAAAAATTCACAAAATGTTGTAATGTGCCATCAAGTCATCTTCAACTTACAGCAACTGCATGAATGAGTGATCTTCACAAAATTGTTGTTGCTGTTATGTGTTGTCAAGTTGACCATGAATAAGTGATATCCAAAATGTCCTGTTCTCAACTGCCCTGCTTAGCTCTTGCGGACTCAAGCCTTTGGCTTCCTTAGTAGTCAATCCATCTCATACTTCGTTTCCTTTTCCTTCTGCCTTCCATCTTTCTTAGAAAAATTGTATTTTCCAGAGAATCCTGTCTTCTCCTGTTGTACCCAAAGTATGACAGCCTCAGTTTCAGCATTTTGCCTCCAGATATAGTTTGGTCTTGATTTGAGCTAGGAACCACTCATTCAGCTTTCTGGCAGTCCAGAATATCCACAAAGCTCTCATCCACAAGGATCTCTCAAAATTAACTGGAAACAATGAATTGATAACAAAATTGTCTCATTCTGAAACTGGAATACTGCAACTCATTCTACATTGACAGTGAAACTGTAATATTCTTAGTGGAGGGAAGACAGTTAAACTCTGTGTATTATTGGGTATGCTAAGATTCATCATGGCCTCTCCAAATTTGAAGAGACACTTGTTCAGCAGGCTGAGGCAAAGAGGCAGTCCTGAAACCAGCAAAATCAAGGGAGCTGGACAGGGGACAGACTGTATTTGTCTTCAGTGTGGGAGGGATTGTCACTCTCAAACTGGCCTTCTCAACCACACTAGACACTGTTCAAAGACCTCTATTCAGAGCATGTTACCACAGTCTCTCAAGACTAAAGGATGCCTACACACAGGATTCATCTATCTGTCAAGAGTTCTGAGTGCTCCCCCACCTTACATTTTTAAAAATGAAGAAAGCTCATGTTCAGGCACACACTGAAAGTCAAGCATTCTAATAAAAATAATTTCCATTTAAAGTTCCAAATTAGTTTGCATGTAATACTTAAACTACATCACATGTGTTTAATGTTTTTCCCCTAATAAAATATTTCCTTTCAAATAACTATGGACTTTCCATTGAATTTTTTGATATTCTGGAAAAGATCTCATTTTTCCCTCTGCTGGTACTCCTCTATTTCTTTGCAAAGATTACTGTAACAGTTCTCAGTATTACAGCCACTCCATTTCTTCCGGGTTTGTAATTTCCAGAGTAGAAAATTTTGTAGTTGTCTGATTGAAAGTATTCCGCTTTTATCCACTTTAGTTCACTGACACAAACCAATGAAATGTTTAAACGTCCCATTTCTTGCTTTATGGTTTCTAGTTTACGTTGATTCATACTCCCCAGATTCCAATGAAGAGGTGAAAATTAGAAACATAATAACTTAAGATATGCTGATGACACCATCTTACTGGCACAAAGCTACAATGACTTGAAAGAACTTTTAGTGAAAGTGAAAGAAAATTCCAAAGCAGGACTGCAGCTCAATATTAAGACAAAAATCATGACTATAAAAGAACTACATGACTTTAAGGTTGGCAATGAAGAAACTGAAATTGTTAAAGATTTTGTGTACCTTGGTTCAATCATCCTATAAATCCAAAGTGAGACTGCAGCCAAGAAATCAGAAGACTGAGATTCGGAAGGGCAGCAATTAAGGAATTAGAAAAGATCATCAAGTGTAAAGTTGTATCACTGGAGACCAAGATCAAAATCAATCTGTACATATAACATATAATATGGAAAGGCTGACTGGATTCAGATGAAGGAGGAGGTAAAATTTGTAGAAGAAACATAAATAGTTTACGATATGCAGATGACACCATCCTACTGGCAGAAAGACAAAAGTAGGTACTAAATCAAATCAAGCAAAAATGATAAAACTGAAGCTGTTCTACTTTGGACACATCATTAGAAGGCAGGATTCTCTGGAAAAGACAATAATGCTGGGAAAGATAGAAGGCAGCAGGAAAACAGGAAGACATTTTAGATGGACTGACTTCCTAAAAGAAGGCACAGGCTTGAATTTGCAAGAGGTGAGCAGAGCTGTTGAGGACAGTACATTCTGCTGATCTCTCATTCATAGGGTTGCCACAAATCAGAAGCAACTTGAAAACACATAACAATACTTATGAGCTGTTGGGTCATTAAAAAGTTCCATTTAATAAAAATAACCAAACAAACATTGTGAATTTTAGAATTTATTTTTCCAATTTAACTTTTTAGAAAACTTGTATCAGTGGAAGGGAAATGAGAGTTTTCAAAGCTTGCAACCTCTAAATACATTCCAAAAAATGTTCCGTCTAATTTTTGGCCCCGCTGCATGGGGGGCATGGTTCCAGTTTAAGCCAGAATTAAACAAGCCCCAACTCTAGCTGTTGGTGTGCAGCCCTGATGGGAGCTCTGTGCATATACATAGCTTAGAAGGAACACTGACTCCAAACCATTATCTATACACTTCTGGTAACAATAATATTAATTTTCAAAGTTTAGAACACAGACATACACATTCTCTGAAGAAATGAAAGTAGTATCTTCTTCCAGAAGAACAAATTTAAAAATAAATGAGTAAGTAACTGATAGAGACATTCTACCTGTTCTAAATGTTTTAGGCCCTCTTCATCATCAGGGTCAGAAGGAACACTCCCCATGCCTGGTGCAGCTGTGACTGAAGTCTGAACTGGTCTTAAGGCAGAATTTGGATTAGACTCTGAAGGAGGAAGAGGAACAGGGGAAGTTGCTTCTGGAAGTATATGCAGTAAAGGCTGGACAACAGAAGTTGGCTCTAGGGGAATGAAAATAATGAATATGAAATTCCTTTACAAACTCCTGGACTAGAAAACTTATATAGAACTCTAAAGGGGGGGGGCTACTTCATCCTAATTTATTTCCCTCCCTTCGCATATGTACCTACCCCTGCTATGGTGACAAACTCCTTAGTCACTTTCCATCTGGATTACTGTGATGTGCTCTACATGACGCCACCTTTGAAATATTTGGAACTTCAGCAGGTTCAAACTGCTACAGCTAGACTGCAGGTTACAGGGAGCATACCACTCCTCTGTTGCAGCAGCTTTACTCAGTGCCAACCTGAATTTAGAGACTTTAAAAATGTTTTCATTGTTTTTCAGCTTTGAGCAGGAAGTTGGACTCAATGGTCTTACAGGCTCCTTCCAAATTTATTGTTCTAAGATTCAATGATTGCTTTCATGGTGTTTTAATGGTAATCACTGTATAGTTTTAACTGGGAGACACATTGTGTCCGTCCCCCCCCCCATGGGGAAAAAGGTGTCAAAAATAGAGAGGTTACTTACCTGTAACTCTGGTTCTTTGAGTGATCATCTGTGAATTTACACTAATGGGTTAAATTTACACTTGCGCAGAGATCTCTGGAATGTTCTAGAGCTGAAAATGTTTGCTAGGACAGCCCCCCTAGTACACGTGGTCCGCCCATCCTAGCGATTGCCTCAGTTCCACCAAAACTGCTGCTTCTCAAAGAGTGAGTGACATGACGGACAGAGGGGAGGATGGGCGGGAAGTGTGAATTCACAGATGACCACTCGAAGAACCAGAGTTACAGGTAAGTAACCTCTCTTTCTTCTTCGTGGTCTCTGTGAATGCACACTAATGGGTGTCTAACAAGCTTACCTCACAGGTGGAGGGATGTCATGGCAAGACTGGGGATAGAACTGCATGTCCAAAACCCGCATCTGCCTTGGCACGCATGTCCAGACGATAGTGGGATGCAAAGGTCGATAGAGTTGACCAAGTGGCAGCCCTACAGATATCTGGAATTGGAACGCCTGGTAGGAAGGCTGTAGAGGTCGCTAGAGCCCTGATAGAGTGAGCCTTGACATTGGCCGGAAGGGGCTTCTGGGCAAGCTGGTAAATCAGGTGTATGGTTTGTATAATCCATGATGATATGGTTTGTGGAGATATTTGTGCACCTCTTTGAGGTGGATGAGGAGATATAAATAAGCACTTGGACTTCCGAAAGGAAGCACTCCTTTCGACATAGAAGGCGAGAGTGCGCCGTACATCCAAGAGGTGAGTGATTTCTCTACACCTGTCGATGGTTTAGGAAAAAAGGAAGGTAGGATGATTGGCTGGCGAACACGGAAATCAGTAATGACCTTGAGAAGGAAGGAGATGTCCGGTTATAGGGTGACTTTATCCGGGTGAAATTGAAGGAATAGGGGGGTCTAAGGGGAGCACCATGAGCTCTGACGCTCTGTGTGAGGAGGTGATGGCCACAAGAAACAAAACTTTGAGTGAAAATAGACATTCTGATGAGGTGGCAAGAGGTTCAAAGGGAGGAAGTGATAGACACTGAAGGACATTGTGTAGGGACCACTGGGGTGTAGGAGAAATTCTAGGTGGGTTGAGGTGAGCAAGCCTTCAAAGGAATCGCTTTAGGGTAGGATGTCGAAAGAATAAAACGGCATCTGAGTCCTGTGGCTGGTGCACCACAATAGCTGACATATAGACCTTGATTGTGGATAACAACAAGTGACAATCAAATAGATAGTAGAGGAAAAGCAAAACTGCTTGAAGAGTAGTAGGTGCAGTAGGAAGATTATTCTTCTGAGCAAACTTCTGAAACGCCCACCACTTATAGGAATAAAGTTGATTTATAGCGGGTTTCCTGGAGTGAGAAAGAATGGTATTTAAGGAGGAAGGATTCTCGAGACTGTCAAGTGTAGGGATTGTAGGTTGGGATGGTAAGTCTGTCCGTGGTGTTGTGTGAGGAGATGGGGGAGGCAAGATAGACAGATGGATTGGGTTTAATGGAGGTCAGCATTGTGAACCAAGGTTGTCTCAGCTAATATGGAGCAATCATGATTGCACTGGACCGGTCTTGCCTCAACTTGACGATGGTATGGAGGAGGAATTGTATTAGAGGGAAAGGATAGAGGAGGTGGGTGGTCCAAGGTACCATGAGGGCGTCTCCCAGAGATCTCAGGCCGATCCCTGCCCTTGAAAAGTAGTTGTTGCATTTCCTGTTTGTTGTGGCAAACATGTCTACGTTGACCCCATTTGTTGCAGATCTGGAGAAAAACCCCTTGGTCGAGAGACCACTCATGCATCTGAGAAGTCTGTCTGCTCAGATTGTCTGCCCAAGCATTGTCCTGTGTGGCAATGTGGAATACTATTGGAAAAATGTGGTGATCTAGGCACCACTCCCAAAATTGAACAGCAAGGTAGAGCAGGAGTAGTGAATGTGTGCCTCCCTGTTTGTTTATGTAATATAATGCTATCGTATTGTCCGTGGTGACCTGAACTGTGGCGCCTGAGATGATTGGCAAGAAGGCACAGAATGCCTTGAAGGTGGCTAGCAATTCTAGATTGTTGATGTGGAGGAGTTTTTCTTGGGAGGACCATGTGGCATGTACATGAAGGTCCTTGCAGTGTGCAGCCCAACCAACGGGGCTGGTGTTGGTTGTGACTTGAGTCATCAGCTGGAGAGGTGCTAAGGGCCAGCCATGAAATAGGTTGGAAGGTGTGATCTACCAAGTGAGCTGGTAAGGAAGCTCGCGGGTAACCTGTAGGCACATGGTGGGTGCATAGGAAAGTGGTCGAACAGAAAGAGGTACCAAGTCTGTAGCAAGCACATTTTCAATCTGGCATGTTGGATGACATGTGGTGGAGGCCATGAGGCCAAGGAGTTGTTGCACTCGATACAGATGCGTGTGGCTGAAAGTAGTCGACAAGAGTGTGTGTTTTGGTTGCACGCTCCCGGAGAAGGAAAGCTCTGGCGTGGTGAGAATCGATTCCTGCACCTATGAAGTCTACCCCTGAAATGGAATCAGCACCAACTTGTTGTGATTGACCTTGAGGCCGAGGTCTGTAACCACGATGTCTTTGAGTGCCTGGGCTTGGGAGTGAGCTACAAGAAGCCAATCGTCAATGTAAGGGAACACCGAGATTCTGAGGTTGCAAAGAAGCGCTGGTACAGGAGCCATGCACTTCATGAATACTCTGGGCGCTGTTGACAGGCGGAATAGTAGAGCGTTGAACTTGTAGGTAGTGTGTCTGAGGGAGAAATGGAGAAATGTGCGGTGGTCGTGTCCGATGGTTATATGGAAGTATGCATCACTCAAGTCGATGACCGAAAACCAGTCTCCATGTTGGAGCAAGGGAAGGATGCATTCCAGAGTCATCATACAGAAACTCTGCTAAGCAATGTAATAGTTGAGATTGTGAAGATCGTGGATGGGATGTAGGGAGTTGTCTCATTTTGGAACAAGGAAGTATCGGGAAAGAAAGCCAGGTCAGATGAGTTCGGAGTGACGGGTGATATAGCGGTTTTTGAACGTATAGAGTAGATTTCTGATTTGAGAGTGGTGGATGGAGAGGTGAGGACAATCCGAGGAGGTGGAATGGATAGGAATTCTATTGTATAGCCTGTTGCAACAATTGATAAGACCCAAGAATCTGTAGTGATGCGTGCCCACACGTGAAAGTGTGGTGCGAGACAGGTGGTACGAATGTGGGACAGGATGGAAGATGAAGGAGTCGGAAAGTCAAATACTCTGCTTGGTTTTCTTATCGGGGTAGCTGAATGACTGACAACGGCGCTGTCGTTGATTATGCTGTCGAGGCTGGTATGAGGACAATTGTGAGGTAAGTACCGTTGTTTGTCAGGAAATGACTTGTATTGTTGGAATTGATACTGATGTTGCCATTGATAGCATTGAGATCTATAATAAGGCTATTATATGAACGCACCGTGTTCACATTTTTTTGCAAATTATCAAGGATCTCGTCAGTTTTATTATCAAAGAGACCACAGCCATTGAACGGTAAGTCTTCAAAACACATTGTTGAGTCTTCTGAGATGTTAGCAGAGCTTTGCCAAGGGTGACTTCGTAAGGCTACTACAGTAACCATATGCTTGGATGCTGCTTCTATGATGTGACGAGCTGTGATCCTCTCTTGACAGGCTAAGGACATGGCCTTCTGGTGAAATGCGAGACCCCTAGGTTTGTATTCCCCAGAGGCTGACTCTAGGGATGGAAGTGCCATGTTCCAAAGGAACCTGTGGTATGCTCCCAATCACGGCTAGGTAGTTAGCCACCCAGAAGGTAAAGGAAGCAAGAGAGTAAACTCTATGACCGATGATATCTAATTTTCTGCCCTCTTTCTTATTTGGGGTAGCGATAGAACGGTTTTGAGAACAAGTCTGAGTAACATCCACAATCACGGAATTAGGTGGGGGGTGTTTGGAGAGGAAATCGGTGCCGGTAACATGGGTTTTATAGAGATTTTCAACCATTTGGGAGAATTGTGGTACTGAAGAGGGCTTGGTCCAGCACTGTTTAGTAAGTTTCATAAGTGATGGAAAGAATCCCATGAAAGGGGAGTGTGTGATTCTCATCTATATCTTCATATCCTTTGTCTGTTTCAGAGTGGGTAGGTTGTTGTACGTCGAGGTTCATGGCCTTAGCGTTGCGAAGGACCAGTTGGGAGTATAATGTGAAATCCTCGGATGGAGGAGGATTAGCCTTGGTGACGCCCGAGTCAGGAGTTGCAAGATTGGGTGGGGGCTCCTGAAGGGGTAAGGAATCCGAAGACTCGGAGTCAGACTGTTGAGATGAGGAAGATGTAAATGTGTCGGGAGAAGGTTGGACTCACCAACGCTTAGGAGGTCCGTCATCTTGTTTCTCCTGGATCGGTTGTGAGGGAGCATCAGACTTCCTGAGGTTTTGTAGTGTGTACGGTTTCAGGCAATGGTCCTGCATAAGTTGTAGTAGTGCGTACTGAAGATGATCAGTCCCGAGAATG